TATATATATTATTATTTTGTTACGAATTCTCTCAGTTTAAATATAAAATTAACTTAGAGTACTGATTAAGAGAAATTAATTGCCCGAGCTACATCATCGTCAAAAAAATGACAGTTTCTGTAAAATTCCTAAAAAATAAAAACTTCGTAGATATTTTTTATGGATTTTTAGAAATTCTAGTTTAAAATAAACTGTATTTATGTACTAAAAAGAAATTATAAATGAATAACTTCTTCGCTACTTTGAGTTTCTTTTTATAGCAATATGATGCATGCTTTTCGGAGTTTTATTTAATAGACATTTAATTAATCATTCAACCCAGCAAAATTTGTAATCAACAAATTAATTTAAACGTTAATTCGTGATTTTCTGGTAGGTACCTACTATTGGTTCCCTATCCCATAATCATGGATGAAGATCAATGATGGAAAGCCAGATATAAATCAGTTCCACCCACAAGAAGGAGTCTTTCCAACGGGTACAAAATTTTAATTAATGGCAATTATGAAAATATTATTCGTCAGTAATTTCAATATTATTACCACATATTTTAGTTAATCATTCAAACCTAGCGAAATTTGTAATCAACAAATGATTTTGAAAATTAATTCGTGATTTTCTGTTAGGTACTTACTATTGGTTCCCTATCTCACAATCATGGATGAAGATCATTGATGGAAAGCCAGAAATGAATCAGTTCCACCCACAAAACGGAGTTTTTCCAACGGGTACAAAATTTTAATTAATGTCAACATATTATTCGTCACTATTTTCAATATTATTAGCACATATTTGCTTAATGTGAAAATGGTAAATTTCTTAAATTGTTAACATATATTTGTTTAATTGATTTATTTATTAAAAAATGGTTCTTCAACATTTTTGATTATTTACGTACGTTTGGCCCATATTTGTAATTATTTATCTAACTAAAATTTTCAATGATTACTTCTTAATAATTTTAATTATTATTATTAGCAAGAATTTCAATTACCTACTTTGAATTACTAGCATACTTATACTTTATTATGGCTTTATATTTTAGACCAACATTAGTGTTATTTAATAATTAATTTTCTTATTCCTCAGGGGTGGACTGGGAAATAAAGTCAGTTCATCAGAATTTTTGTCAAAGAAAATTTTCTTTCATCAGCATATTGTTAGCGCAACATTGGTCGGTACAGCGTTAGCATGCTACGATGTATTTCTTCTTTTCAAGAATTGCTGATAACATGACCAGGGCTTGTCTAAAGGAAATGGACACTTTTGGACTTGAAAATGTTAACAAGTAAATTATTTTCGTTATTACACATCTGAATTTGTTAATATGTTTGCTATAAATGTTTTTTGTCATTTATTTAATTACATTTTGTTGCCTTAAGCAGCAACTTCTCAAATTTCACGGATTTGGACTTGTTTGGCACATAGTTTGTTGTGGAACTATAAAAAAGACGTCCCATGTATATCATTTATACTTGTCGATGATTAAAATGTATTTTAAATGAAATTCTACATAAGCGCTCTTTGGCTTCACATATTCAGGGTCTTTTAAAATTAAAAATTCACGGGTAGAATGTATGTATAAGAGCTTTTCTATGGGAGCATTGGCAGGGGGATTGTATGTCGAAGTATTTAAAGGGTGTAATAGCATGATTTAGAGTGGGAAGTGAATATAGAGGTAATAAATATTAGATGGGGATGAAGAAAGAATATGCAGAATATGTGAAGGGGTAGATGATGTTACAGTGTAATTTCAGTTGTATTTATTAGGATTAGGGATAAGTATGCAATATTAAGCCTGGTGTAATTTTTAATATTTATATAAGTTACTGCATTGGCTGCTATAGTGCATAAATGTACATTATTACAAATATCACCCTGTTGGGGCCTCTCAAAACATTTGGTCCCAATAGATAAATTCTACGAAGGCTTCGTCGGTCAGCTACCCTTATTTAATTGCACTACGCTGTAATGATATCTATGTATTTTTGGGTCTTTTCCTATACTTTTCTATAGCTTTGTTCTCGCAGGTACTGGTGGTGGTAATATTATAGGTTTGATATTATTCCATTTTTGTAGTAGTTGAGTTCAGTTGAAAAAGTTAAGTTTTGTCGTTCAGCTTAACCAAATCTATTTTTTGTCGCTAATTTTGTCTTCCGTTTTTACATTGTCTTCATGTTCTGAATATGTTTAAGTGTTGTAAATAAAGTGTGTACATAGTTTTGTTTTACATTGGAATTTTATTCACTTTCGTCATTTATCCAAAAACATTCTGAGAAAATACTGCTCGTGGAAACACGGCAAACAGATGAGACGCTGATGTTCTGAGAATGTAAGGAAGGTAATGACTTAGATGATTATAAAGACGTAATAAGTGGGGATGATCTTGTTAAAAAAGATACTTAATAAAACAAAAGTTTGTGTTATGAGAGGGTTAAATTTATGCTTATGTTTACCCATGGGGGTAAAGAAAAGGACAATTTGCCTTGTTGTTTTGATTTTAAGAAGTAAGTGTTTTGTATTAATGAAAGCTTACTTATTTCTCTTCATTTGTATATTGTTTAAAATATAATTTACGTATTTTAAAATTTTGATTTTTGTTTGTAGTGAATAAGTGGAAATAATTTTTATTTTACTAACAAGGTATGAAAAAGAATATATTTCTATTTTTCTAGTTGTATATACTAGTCCTGTAAGAAGAAGAATTTTAAAAATTTATTTTGTGTTTTTGATGTAAAAATAACTTAAAACTTAATAAGCGCCCCTTGCATTACACACTGACGTCTTCTTTGGAAAATTGACAAAGTTTCGCACTTTTTCAGAATAGTAGGGGCTTTATATTTACTTAGTTTACATTGACCAATAAAGATATTTTACTACATTACTCACACTTTCTTATAATATCTATTTTCTCCTTCCCAACTACCTTTTTTTGCTACACCTCTTTCACTATCCTGAAAACAAAAACGATCCCTTATTCCTTAATTTGTTTTTAGTTGGCTCAGTTCACCCCCACCCTTATTCACCAATTTATAGCATTCTTCCCGAGTTCTACTTTCTACTCATGTTTCAGACATTTATCTCCCTGTCACATATTCTGTCCATTTCCTTTTTCCAATATTTACATCCCCTACATTCATTCCCTCCGAAATTGTACTGCAATGCTTACTTCCCTCCCTCCTTCTAAATACCTTGGAATCCAATCCCTTTGCCAGTCCGTCCAGATAATATGCTTCAACCCCACCACTTATCTTGACTCCTCCATTTTGTTGAGATCCTCTCCCCTTATCATTTCCATGCATCATTTCCTCATTTTCTATATTTAGCACTTCCCATAAACACTCTCTCACCTGCTCCTGATTGATTTTGACTTTTCTTCCCTATTTGCAATACCTTCTTCCTAGAAGAGTAAGATTCTAAATAACTTTGGCTTTGAAAATTGAGATCTACTTTCGAATAATGTATAAAAATGATTGTTTTTTTGGCACACTTATAATTTTTATTTAAGAACATTGAATAAGCTAATCAATCTTTGCGTTCATGATGAAACATATTTTATATGTTTTGAAATCTTTTTTACACACCATTAACTTGTAGAACTTTAAAGATATAGTTTAAGCATGCACCTGTTTGGTGGTTAAAATTTATTTTAAATTTGAATCTTAGCTATCTTATTTTTGACTATTACAGAAGGTTGTTTATTATATAAGTAGATGTTCACTTGTTGTGGAATTATTTAATTATTATTCTGTTTTTCTGTCCAGAAACTGTTACTAAAATGATTGCGGCTCGTATCAAGGGATGACACAACTCTCAGGGCGGCCTTAAACCAGGAAAATATGATAATCGTCACGGAATTCGATGAAACCAGAAGTTATCATGGGAATTCCAACGAAAGTTGAAACAATCAGGGAATGTTAATGAAAATAGATCTTGAACATTTCAAATAAAAGTCGCGTTTTTTTTTTATTAAAAATCCTTTGAAAAGAAATTGTTAGAAATAACTTACTAGTCGTGATTTTATTACCTACCCATTTACTTGCGTATTTTGAAGATATTAAGACTTAAAATTTCGTTAAACCGTTTGAATTTTGAATTTTTTCCGAGAATCTTAAAGATTATTTTTATGACTTCCCTGTTTACAAATGGGTCAAATGGGAACGTAAAATGGTAAGTTTTTTAATTAAAACGTATCTGTTGTATTTACTACAAGCGTGTTTTTATTGTTTCAGGTTTCATTGACGAAAATGTCTTGTAAAATCCCACATCATCGACGTCTTGAGATTTCTACAGTCTTCAACTCAAAATAGGAGAATGGACAGCTGTTCCCCTGGCTTTCCATGGTAGTTTACGTCAGATTATGATTAATTATTGATATATGTTCAAATGTACAAATAGTGGATTTACTGAACGGAATTTCACTTAAATCGATTCAATTTTTAAATGGTTCAATACAATTTTATTAGTTTAACTACATTTCTTGTACATCATAAGATTAATTTGTTTCTTTTTCCAGAATTACTTAATTCCATCTTCTCTTATTTATCTTTTTCCAAATTGATTTTATATAAACTACAGTCAGCAGTCAAAATTTAATTTAAGTATTATATATCAAAAATATTAAAAATATGAAACAAAAATTCGTTAAATTATTCAATTGCTAGAAAGAATTTTTATATTGTTACTTACCTTTCATGTTGTAGATTGTGTTTGACATTTTATTCCTTTTTTTCACTTTCAGTTAACTTATTATTTATTTATTTAACATGCATAATTAATTCATTAACATCTTCAATTCCTTTTAAGTTTATGTGTTGCAATTTTATAGTGTTTTTGGTAACTTCATCAAAATGTTGAACAAAAAATCAATAAATCCACTATTAGTANATTAATAATTGTTAAGAACTAATAAAGAGAAAAAAAAAGCATTAAACTTTTAACTCAAAAGAATACTATAGAGTGAAAAAATCAGTTAAATTTCAAATAATACTCAAGTTGAAATGCATGTTAATTAAAAAGTATCAATCTCATAAACAGTGAACAAGAAAAGTGGTAAAATTCAAAACAAGTCTCTAGATATTTTATACCCTCTACTATATTGTATTTGAAAAACTCACCGTTGTGATTGCAATCAATTCTTTCTCTCCCATCCAAGGCATCCCAAGGATTATAAGGGGGGAAATGAAATTCATTGGGGGAGATGAGATAGAGCCTGAAAGAGGATGAAAATAATGATAAGGAAAAAAGGTGAAAATGGGAATGAAAGAAGTTGTGTGTGAATAATAGAGAGGTAAAAGAGTGTATGAAGTGAATTATGAGAGAGGGAGAGACTGTTGCGCCGAGAGAGAAAAGATGTAAGAGGGTGTAAATGGGTGTAAATGGGATGGGAGATAGGAAGGAGTTTGTGTGTGTATGCTTGTAAGGATATGAATGAAAGCAAGGGAGTGAATGAGGGATGAGAGTTTGCTCGAGAAAGGGAACTTACAGAGACAATACAAATTTATACCCTTATGTTTCAAACGTCTCACGTGCTTCTCCCTCTCTCCCGCAAACTTTCTTACCTCTATTACCACCCTTGCTTCCACTCATACTGTGCATTTGAAAGAGGAGTGTGCTAAGTGGTGTGTGAAAGAGGATGATTAGGAAAAAAGGGTGAATGTGTGAATATAAGAAGTTGTGTGTACATACATGTGTGTGTGTGTGTAAGTAATAGAGGGGTAAGAAAGATAGTGTACGCTGAGAGAGAGAATGTATGAGGGTATAAACGAGGTGCCAGAGATGAAGAAGTATGTGTGTATGAATGAAAACAAGGGAGTGAATACGGGATGAGAGTTCGCACGTGAAAGGGAACGTATGAGAGACGGTACAAACTTATACCCTTAAGTTCCAACCGTCTCACATACTTCTTCCTCTCTCCCGCAAACTTTCTTACCTCTATTCCCTCCTTTGTCTTCACTCATACTGTATAAATGAAAGAGCGTGTTACGTAGGGTGTGAAAGTGGATGATGAGCGAAAGGGTGAAAGTGTGAGAGAGAGATGTAGGATAGTATGAATGAGGTGCGAAAGAGGAGGGAGTGTGTGTGTGCGTGTGAGGGTATGAATGTAAGCAAGGGAGTGAATGGGGGATGAGAGTTTGCGTGAGAAAGGGAACGTATGAGAGACGGTATGAACTTACATCCATAGGTTCTTACCGTCTCACATACTTCTCCCTCTCTCTCGCAAACTTTCGTACTCCATTCCCATCCCTGTTTTCACTCATACCCTCAAGCACACACCTCTCCCTCAGAGTGAATGAGGGGGCCCTAAGGGGGGAATGAGGGGACCCTAAGGGGAGGGGTGAAATAAATAAAACAGCAGATATACAAACTGTGTTTTTTATTTAAACGTTAAAAAAGACAAAAATAAATTTTTCACGCCTACCAGGTCTAGTGCGAAATATTTTGTGATTCGAAGACCGTCCGGGACAAGTCCCGGATTTTGGAGTGTTCGATTTCGAACCAAGAAGTCCCCAATGCACGAAATCTGGAAGTTCCGGGATACTAAGTCTTGGAAACAACGGAATACAAATCCCAAGATCTCCAGAACAATGGATTTCGAAGATTTCGAAATCCAAAGTTCTGGAGAACTTGTGATTCGAGTTCCGAAGTTTCCAAGACTAAGGATCCCGGAAATTCCGAGATCCCGTGCATTGGAGCCTTCGAAGCTCGAAGTAGAACGCTCCACACGACACTCCCGAAGCACTCCCGATTGATGAAGGTCCTCCTGTAACAAAAATGAGTGTTAATTATCTATCATATACAATTAATCTTTAATTGCTAATAATTATTTCTAATAAACATTCTAATAGATAAATGTAAAAAGTTTAAATAAAAATAAAAATGATAATAAATAAAATAAAGACTATTAAGGCAATCACACAAACTAAAACGACTATGTGAGACTATAAAATATTTGAATTTAATAAGCTATTTTAAAATACGAATGTGTATTACCTAATTGCTTACAAAAAATTAATAATTGTTAAGAACTAATAAAGAGAAAAAAAAAGCATTAAACTTTTAACTCAAAAGAATACTATAGAGTGAAAAAATCAGTTAAATTTCAAATAATACTCAAGTTGAAATGCATGTTAATTAAAAAGTATCAATCTCATAAACAGTGAACAAGAAAAGTGGTAAAATTCAAAACAAGTCTCTAGATATTTTATACCCTCTACTATATTGTATTTGAAAAACTCACCGTTGTGATTGCAATCAATTCTTTCTCTCCCATCCAAGGCATCCCAAGGATTATCTCCTGAAGAGACTGGTTGACTGGAATCTGCAGACTTGGTCCAACTGGAAAGAAATAATCCTCATTATACGTATATTTAGCTAAATCGCAAAGAAATTATTAAATTATGCAAGTTAAAAGAAGAATGCATGTTAATTTTACTATTCTCATAAATAACTATTTAAAAGAAAAGTGAAAATTTTATACTCTCTACTATATTGTATCGAAAAACTCACCGTTGTGATTGCAATCGTTTCTTTCTCTCCCATCCAAGGCACCCCATAGATCCTCTCCTGAAGAGACTGGTTGACTGGAATCTGCAGAATTGGTCCAACTGGAAAGGAATAATCGTCATTATACGTATATTTAACTAAATCGCAAAGAGATTATTAAATTATGCAAGTTAAACTAAGAATGCATGTTAATTTAAATATTCTCTCAATTAATTAATAAGAAAAGTGAAGACTCAAAAAAAATTCTCTAGATATTTTATACCCTCTACTATATTGTATTTGAAAAACTCACCGTTGTGATTGCAATCGCGTCCACCCTCTTTCTCCCATCACAGGCATTCCAACGACCCTACCCCAATGATGCTGCTCGATTGAAATTTGCATCTCCAGAAATGTCCAACTCTTTTGAACATTTGAAGAATTTGTGGCTGCAATCGCTTCCAGCCTTTCTCTCCCATCACTGACACTCAAACGACCATCTCCTGAAGAAACTGCTTGACTGGAATTTGCACCTGCGGAATTGGTCCAACTGGAAAGAAATAATCGTCATTATATTTATTTAAATTACAAATAAGATTATTATATTACGTAAGTTTAAATAAGAATACATGTTAAATTAAATATTTTCATAAACAATAAACATAAAATTTAACAATGAAAAAGAAAAACATTCATCAGGTTTTCGTAATCCATTTAATTTCTCATTTTCGAAATGCAAATACAAAGTGGAAAACAAATGAGTAAAAATGAAGTTTGTTGTTATTGCTTGGTTTTCAATAAAATCTACAGCAATTATGTGAAAAGTGTTAAATAACTGAATTTAATAAATTCTTTATTGTATTATAAGCGTTTTACTTATGAGTGTTCTCTATTGCATTGTATTATTAAGTGTGAAAAACTCACTGTTGTGGGTAAAATTGATTAATCCTTTTGTCTTCCATCAGGGCTCTAAATGGTCCTACTAAAACTGCCTGACACAGAAGAATTTTGCTTGGTAAGTCCTCCTCGATATTTTAGGAGATTTTCCAATTTCCTCAAAAAATCTCAACACCGTTCCAGAAGTCCTCCTCTATAATTGTGGAATAAAGAACCAAATATACCTGCAACAAATTCAAATGGATGTATTAAAAGCAGAATTAAAGAAATTGCTTTACACATATTATAGTTTCAATTATTTTGTACCTTTTGAAAGAATCCACTATTGTGAGCGAAATTAA